GCAGTGGCCGGACAGCGGCGGCGATGACTACTATTGCAGCGGAAACGGAGCTCCCAAGATCGGGAACTCTGATACCAACTTGAAAAAAGAGAATGATTTTATTATTATTATTCATGCTTATTACATTTTGCTTACATCTATTTGTAACAATCTAATACTCCAAAAATAAGGAAATAAGGAAAAAATATGCTGAAAAATAAACTACAATATTCTACGGATATTTTCTCTAATTACAATAGATCCCACACTTTTGTGTGCTTTGGTTAGTCGTTGTTTTAGGTAAAATATCCGCTTCCCATCACTTTGTCCGTCATCTTTATAGTTGTTAGCCAAATAGGATCTATTTGCTCAGTATTGGAAAAAATCCAAGTTTCACATTGGCTGCTTCCCATCACTTTCTCCATCATCTTTATTATTGTTAGTCAGATAGGATATGTTTGCTCAGTATTGGGAAAAACCCAAGTTTCACATTGGCTAAAGACAAGGCAAACAAAAAGTTTACAAGTGGGGAGCAACTGTCACCTTATAAGTTGGTTTTGTAGGTTTGAGTTAGATCCAAACCCACATTCTTAGATGATATTAAAGCTATCTAGAACAACTCTAAAAGGACCACCTACCATTGATATACGCATCAAACCCAATAGTGTTGAACGTGAAGGAGTATTGGGAAAAATCCAAATCCCACATATCCTAGATTATTAAAAAGGGTCACCTGCCATTTATTCATTTACCAAGCCTAATAGTGTTGGACGTGAATGGTGTATTGGAAAAAAATCCAAGTTCCACATCGACTAGAAACAATGAAAATGAGAGCTTATAAGTGGGGAGCAACCCTCACCTTAAAATTTGGTTTTGTAGGGTTGAGTTAGTCTCAAACCCACATTTTAAGACTGTTTTATGGAACTTTGGTTTGTTAGAATGTTAAAGTCATTCAGGGTAAGTTCATTTATTCCTGGTCTACTAATGGTAGATTGTATCTGTGTACTAGAGAAAGATTGTGAACAATTTCTGATTGTTGAAATTACTTTTATGTTCATATAAAGTACATCTGCTTCTGTCTTACATTATTATGTTTAACCAGACATTTTTCCTGATGTTCTATTGATTCCAGATACAACTTGATATTGGAAATGCTAACAAGTCTATTATATTACGGTCTGCCAGCTCAAGGCTTGAGTTTCCAGGATACCGGGCAGTGTTTATGGTATGGTTAGTTGCAGCAGATAAGTGACTCTGGTGACATAATCTTTAACTATTCATATACCAGTTGACAGTACATGAAATAATGATGACTTTATATTTGTGATTACTATTGTTATTTTCAATGAAATAAATTATTATTTTAGTATTGCTTTTAGTGTAAGTATCGGATAGCTGTAACTGGGAAAAAATATATATTACAATTGGATTTCAAATTTAATGCTTTTTTGTATAAGTAAAATTTTAAAGTTATGCTATATGCATTAAGTTTGTTTTCTACTGGCTAATATCATGTTTTTGATGATGAACAAGATCTCCTGGAGCTTAAAATGTTTTGGAAAGACTTGCTATCTTGTTTGCTTTATGCATGCTATTGGAGTATAACTTTACTCCTTATCTTCCAGCTATCTTTTCAGCTTTATTCTGTTGTAATTGTTAGTTTACTTTTCATATTCAACCTTTGGACAACAGTAGCACAGTTTTATATCTGTTAAGCTGTGTAACTAATTCTCTCAGTCTGTTAGGTTGTTACAGCTTCTGTTAGAAGCTGTTAGCCTTATAAATAGCTCTCTGTACTTTGTAATATGCAGATTGAATAATATATAAAAAATGCTTTACTATTCGTTCTCTCTCTCAAACTTCAACACATCCCAAAAGAAACATATTAAGTGTGAATATGCATGTGGTTCTATTTTGTATGCATTGTTCAATTGCTGGATGAAAGAGACTTAAGGGATTTAATGTAGTTTCCATTTGATTCAAATCTGTATTATTACGAGAGGTTGTCACAAGTCACACAATTTTTATTTCATTATTTTGTATGCGTAAAAATGGTTTTGTATCTATTAATTTCAGTTGTGGTCGAGAATAACCACATGTACCTTTATATGTTTAGGTAACTCTGTTTCCTGACATATTTTTTTTCTACCTTCTAGGATGTTGTTACCAAAGCTGTTCAAGATAAAGACATTGATGGATCCAGTCATGATCAAACATTTGGGGTACTAAATTCCTTGAAGGTAATATTTCTGAAAACTTAATATATATATATATATATATATATAATATAATTATGTATGTATATATGGTTTGTAATTGAAAACGTTTTCTTTCCTTCTAATGGCAATCTGCCAGTTCCGTTTATTTAGATAGGATGCTATTCTTAGCTTCCTTATGGTGTTTTGGCATTGGTTTTTTCAAAGAGGGAGTGGACTTTGATAGATATATGTGTTTGTCTATTGCTTGTAACACGTGAATTTTAATAGTTTCCAAAATGTCTAGAAGGCATTGTACCATGCTCTACATGTACTAACCAGTTCCCAACTATCCTGAAAAGGTGTGTTGAAGTGGTTCTGGATACTCAACTGTTAATAACAATTCACTAAGTGAATCAACCTCCCAAGTGATGAATGCAATTACCGTGTCTTGAAAAGGTATGTTGAAGTGGTTCTGGATACTCAACTGTTAATAACAATTCACTAAGTCAATCAACCTCCCAAGTGCTGAATGTAATTACCGTGTGTTAATTATGACTGTACTGGATTGCTTGAACTAGATGTATGTTGACCTTTCTTTCTAGATGCCTCTTAATGAAGTAGTGCTTCTAATTGACAGGTTGAGTGTATACCTTGTCTTTGACCTAGAGAGCCTTAAAATTAGATGGAACTTGCATTGTCCTTATGGACTTGTTGTTCAAAAATTAGGCTGTGATGACTCTAAAATCTCTTCTGACATTCAAAATCATCACCAGAGCCACTCAAACTGTTCTTGGTGCATGGTTGCATCTTATTTGGAGTTTTGAATTTTTCATTGGAATCTAATGCCTCTCATATTTAATGATTTGTTTTTTGTTGCTTGTATTCTTGGTTTGTTTGTTATTTTGGCTCAGTCAACTGGGTTTCTTATATACTATTCTTTAATTCATTTGTCTTGGCTTGTTTTTCACGTTCTTGGTTCTGGAATCTAAAGGGAAGTCCTTGGAGGAGTTGAGTGGGGAGAACGAAGATGAAGAAGGTGATAATGATCATGAGCAGCAACAGCAAGGTGCATCCTCTTCTGGTAGGACAATTCCAGTTTAAGTTGATGCTATATATATATATATATAATAGTACAATGTCATTAGTGATGTTCAAGGAGATGTAGATGAAATTATAGTATGTTTGGATCCAATAATAGAAATGTTTTTAAAAATATTTTTGATTCGTATCCAAACATTTTCTAAATCTTAAATTGTTATATATCAAAATTGCACACCCATAGTGTGCAGATATATATAAATACATGGTTACACGTGCATGCAGCAGAAGATATAGTTTAGTTTGGGATGGTTTATCATAATAGATTGCCAGATTCCGTGCTTTCATTTATCCAGATCAACTGAGCTTGTCAATTCAACTTGCCTTCTGCAGCTCACAAAAGTTCTCTCACATGCATGTTATGTTCTTTTTCTGTTTGTAGAAAAATCTTTACTTGTGTAAATAAAGTTAAGTAATTAAACAACACTGGTGGTTGTTTAGATGAGATTTTGTGCGATTTTATTCAACTCTGATTTTGCCTGAATTAACATTTGAGTTAAAATCCTGGAACTATTTGAATTCGTGAGAATAATTGCAAGTTGTAATGACAGACCAAGGGAGAGTGGTTAACACAAAGTTGTGGTCATGCGCACACACTTTGGACAATGGCTGGGCTTGTCTCAGACTAGTTAATTCCCTGATTTGCACAGGAACAAGGTGGGTAGTTAGAATTCAAAGAAAGGAAAGACAGAAAAAGTGGCCAAAAGTTAAGAAGTTAAAAATACTTTTAGAAAATTACATTCTTAATCTGTTGACTATTTTCTCAAACGGATAGATAAAGCGAAATGGAAGGAGTATGATAGCTTGTATGAACTACTAATATATTTTAGTGGTTATACGTGCATGTGGTTATATTTTAGTGGCATAGGATTCTAGAAACATGGTCAATGGGGAAACTGATGGTAACCCCTGATTGCAATCTCAAGTGCAATTGTTTAATAAAGATTAGGAGATGGACTTGTGTTTATTATAAATTTGCTATTGCGTTTCAACTATTGACTCTATTGTTCTGACTAAGTCGATTGATTGAAGTTTAATAAACGAGGAAAATTTATCATTAACAACTAGCATTGGCATCCTTATAATGAAGCCTAATAACCTATGAAATCCCAACCGCAGTTCATAATAAGCATGATGTGTTGCTGCCTATAGATGTGTTATTCATTATTTGATAGGTTGTAATGATTTTCCTGTTGTAATTAAAGGCATTGTTGTAAAGTTTAAATTCAAATTTTGAAGTTTTTATCTTCTGGTAATCGATTACAAGAAATGGGTAATCGATTACCAGAGAACCTTTTAATAAGTAAATTTTGAACATATGATTTTCATTGTCTAGTAATCGATTACATGTATAGGTAATCGATTACCAGACTCTTAAAACAATAGTTTAGTCATCAAAGACGCCAAGTTTGTGAGGGATTCAGCCCAGTTAGTGACGGATTTTATCCGTCGCAAATTGAGACGGAATTCTGGCGTCGCAAATTGTGACGGATTCTAGTCAATACTGGGCATCACAGTTTGTGATGGATACTTGGCATCACAGTTTGTGACAGATTCGTTCATCACAATTTGTGAGGGATTTTGTGTCATCACAATTTGTGACGGACTCACATACCTCTCAATCCCTCTCAAATTGCGAGGGATTTAATCCTTCACAAATTGCGACGGAGTTAGAGGCGTCACAAATTGGCGGATTTTTATTTTCTAAACATTTATTGTTAGAAATTAGTGACGGAAATTATATTGTTTGTGATGCCTTAATTCCGTCACTAATTGTGACGGAGAAAATAATCCGTCACTAAATATTTTGTGACGCCAAATTTTGTGACGGAATCATTTCCGTCACAAATTCCGTCACTAATTTATTTGTGACGGATTTTATGAAGATTAGTGACGGATTTCTTCCCTCTCAAATTTTATTTTTTCTAGTAGTGAATAAAATCTCAAACATAATAGTAATGTCATTATTCTCTCAATAGTGATGATAAATAGAAAAAGGTGTGTATATTGTTAATTAATTAATAACTGCTATAATTTTCTCATCCATTTTTGAAAGATTAGCTTTGGTGGTTATAATTGATTGATTTGTTAATTAATAATAGAGTCCAATGTTATATTGTGTTATAGCTAATATGTACTACATAGAATTTAATTGAATTTTTTTATGATGTAGGAGAAGTTTGAAAAAAGAAAGTTTGAATTATCCTCTCAAAGCTCAACATTTACTCCAGGAGAGGATGGAGCTGATAGCCAACCATCCATAAATCACACGCCTTCTGACTTGATGTGTGGGTAGATGCAATTGGAAAGAAAAATGGAAAAGTCTTTGGACTTGGGTCTATGGGAAAAATATTAGTAACATCTTCCAATCAATCGTTAATGTCTTCTATTGAGGATGTTGATGATTTAAGAAATCAAATTCATACATTAAATGAATCACTACAAAGACAAGAGGAAGAGAAGCTACAAATGAAACAAGAATTAAATGATGCTAGGAAAGAAGTGCAAGCTACTAAGAAAGAAGTATCGTCGAAAATTTCCCACAGATTTAGATCCGTGGGAAATTTCTGAAGGGTTTTTAAATGATGGAATTTTCGACGGAATTTCTGACGGATTTAAATCCGTTTGAAATTTTCGACAGAATTAAATCCGTCTGAAAATTTTGACGAAATTTCCCACGGATTTAAATTCGTCTGAAATTTCTGACAGAATTTCCCACGGATTTAAATCCGTCTGAAATTTCTAACGGAGTTTCCTACGGATTTAAATCCGTCTGAAATTATTAAATAAAATTTAAGCCAATTATTTTTCAAATGCAACCAATCCTGATCGCATCGATACACACAACAATGCACTATATAATATTTTCATTATTATATGGGTGTTTTCAAAATATAAATAAGATAAATATAAATCAAAGTGTGTGAGGTATGACTTATATTACCTATATATAATTATATGTTTAGGTTATTATAAATTATAAACTAATTAGCGTAAATGTGTTTTTTGTTACTTATCTTGAAAAATACCAACACATGACGTTCAAATTTAAGAATAACACATCTTTTCTTTAATTTTTAAAAATCACTCATCTCTTTGAAAATAACGTTATTAATTAAATAAGGGGGAAAAAGTTAAATTATGTTCTGCAAATCATATATATGTATCTATTATTTATTTCTAAATTACATCCAATACTATGTCATTTTGATGAAAACTTTCATTGATCTTCAATTTTGAAAATAAGATTTTTTTCAATTCATTTTTAAAATTATTACTTAAATTTAATATATATTTTTAAATCACAGTATGGATGATAAGAGGAAGAGAAGCTACAAATGAAACAAGAATTAAATGATGCTAGGAAAGAAATGCAAGCTACTAAGAAAGAAGTACAAGATACTACGAACCAAGTGCACGCTTTAATGCAATACTTGGGATTTGTTGGCTCTTCTTCTCATCCATATTCATCACCTCAACTTAGTAATGAAAGTGAAGATGATGATGATGATGAAAAGAGTGATCATATCGATAGGTGTGTTGATTTAATATACTTTATTTAATTGTTATGATTTATTTATAATTTTCATGTGAAATTTGACTTATAAATATTTTTTTGGTTTTACTTTTATTATGATGTAGGTGTGATTGAACAAAGCCTTAGTGAAGATTGGATGGAGTTTTTCTTAATATAGGTGTTGATTTTAAATCTAGATACTTTATTTTTTGACTAGATATATTTTTTTTTTAGTAAAGATAGATTGACATTGCAGTTATATGTTAAGAACCTTAATTACTCTCTCTATGAAATGTGGGGTTGGTCTTGTTTACAAATGGTTGTACGTAGCTTAAAGAATAACATACTACATATGCCCAAAATTCCCATTTACATTGGGTTCCTTCGTACTTGAACCACACATTTTAGCCTCTTGTAGTCCTTAATTGGTATTTACCTGATGGTAGTGTCCAGTTAAAAAAATATTTTTTTAACATCTTGGACATAGATTGAGTAATGGTATTTACCAATGATATGCACTCATATTGAGTTTTATTTTTTGTTCATTATTTCATGATGAGGTTTTTGTTCTGTGTGACAATGTTTTTATGATTATCTAACTATCTATTCGTGTTGCTAACATTCTTCTTGGAAATCAAATTAAGATAATATAAGTTTGGAATACAGGTAAGCATAAACATCATCCAAAAATAAAGAAAAGAATAATACAAGAAGGTAAATACCACTGCTGACATTGCCATATATGTAAATTCCTTTAGGAGCTGGAGGAGTAGTTGGACGACCACCAACTAGTGAATCCAACTTCTTCTCACGTTTTAGATATGATACCCATTTCCCTAACCCTGGCTCTATATTTGTTGGTCTTCTCCTGAATCACAAAAAAAGGACATGCAACTTCAATTACATTTCACAATACAAGTAGCTTCAATCAAAAAGTACATCCTAAGCCCTAATCAAGACAAGAAAAATGAAACGAAATTCACAATAAGCAAACAGAAGCTGAATTTGAAATTGCCAATGTTAGTGAAAATCCACAGAAACAGTGAAATCACATTGGTTAAGCTTCCAGTAGAATCAAAACCATGTGAAACTAACTCAACAGTTACCGGGATTCCCATCTTTCAGTAAGCTTATTGTTCAACCGCTTCCACCATTCCTCATCCTTCTGCAAAAATTTTAAAAAAAGAAAGAAAATTTCCTGCAAACTTACCTATAGAAAGAAAATTTGTAGGAAAAGTTCCTATAAAATTTCCTGTGAAAAAAATCTATAGAAAATTTACTTGCAAAATTATTTACCAAAATAATGTATTACTTGCGAATTTTCTTATGAAAAAAATCGCAGGAAATTTCCTGCGAAAAATTTCTGCATGAACTTCTTACAAAATTTTTTTCCCAGAAAGTAATTTTCTACCAACGATTTACCTGCAACTAAATTTTTGTAAAAAATTCTGCATGAAACATGTTTCCTGCAAATTTTTATAAAATTTTTGTAGGAAAATTTGCATGAAATTTAATAATTTGTAGTAGTGAATGCAACTTTTTTTTTTTGTGTGATAATTGCAAAACTCCAAAAGTGGATGTAATTGCTTCTTTGAGGTAACTGTCAAATATCTCAAACATACTTTCTTGAGATGTTAAAAATATTGTGTTTGTTTGAGTTTCCCCTTTGATATAATTATCAATTGAACCATTACATTTTCTTTATAAATCTTAACGAAGTATTGGTCAAATATTTAGCCAAACAATTACTTATATTTTATACCCAGAGAGGTTCGATCAGGGAATTCGATATTATGTTAGTAGAAACTTTGTTTTATAATGACAAAAATTAAGTCGATCTCATTAATAAAATATTTTTCTATAAACTGTTTTAATGTTTTTATTTTATTTTATTTATAATTAACTTTTTAGTATATAACATTATACAATTATTTAAATATATATGAATAAAAAAATTTACTGAGAAAAATTTATATTTAAAAAAAATAAATTTTAAATGGAAGGTGATAAGTGGGAAAACTTAGTCAAAGAATAAAGCAGTTATGCTACTCATTTTGCAACAGCTAAAAAAATAATAAATAACAATAAGGCATAAAAAAAATATAAAAAGATAATAAGTAAAGCAGTTGAGAGTTAAGGAAATAATAACCAATAGCTAAAAAAATCAAAGATGATGAGAAACCCATCAGATAATGGGAAGAGCTGGGTGGTTACTAGCCACACCGGCTAGAAAAGGAATCACAACAGAGATAAAAAGGGATCATTAGCGCTTGTTTTGGGGGAGACTGCAGTACAATTGTATTTGACATGCTTGGAGCATTAATTCTCGTAAAAAAGCAAATTCCAACGAGACAAGATGTGTCTTATATTGCACCTTTACGAAGGTACTGTATTCCATTGTTTTTCAAGGTTTTACCTTTTTTCCTTCTATTTTGTAACGACCCGTCATGGTTTCTACACTTAGTAGAATCGCACTACTACTAGTGAACTAAGAAAAATATTAAGCTGGATAACTCATACATACAGGTATAAATAAGAATGACAATAACTAAGTTTCTGGTTATAAAATAGAACACCATATATGTACAGTCATTCCAAAAATAATATTCTCTAGTGCCGGTCAAGCACAAACAGAACCATTACCCAAAATAGTAACTCTAACACGAGGATCAAATTACCCGTCTTGCAGCGGTCACCTCAACTCCAAGCTAGTCCTAACCTGCTCCCATACAAGGTATGATCATCGCAGTCCATCCACATGGAAACAGAAGGGTAAGCTAGAGTTCAAAAATCAATCATACAAGTATAGAATAATAATCTATACTACACAATCACCCAACTATCAGTCATGATCATAGAGTCACACCATACACTCTATCCAATACTACTCATGCATATCATATGTAACTCATGACAGATATCAATGCTTATCAATCATCTAATGCGTTATCACGCATACACCTAGGAGATCTCCCTAACAACAGAGTAGTATAAGTGACATCCCATCCTACCGAAACCACCCAACTGTTTTCACGCCCAATGCGCCCGCTCGGTCACAACTAGACAGGATATAATCCTCACTCAGGTTTACTCGAATGATGTCACTTACACAATTGGAAGTCCAGATCCACCGTCAGGTATAGCACAGTTGGGTACAGGCTTACCATGACCTTGGCATGCATTACCAAGTGAATTGTGGAGTTTGCCCACCGACTATCCACAAGGATCCACGCACCTTCCCGAGTACTTGGTTAAGGGAATAACCCTCGACCTCATACCCCGCTCCAACACTAGCTAAGGAATTAGAGGAGACTCACCCAACCCAGTGGCCTACCTGACCACCACTCTCCTAAATCCAATGGCCTACTTGAGCACCACTCTCATATATCAGTGGCCTATCCAAGCACCACTCTCAAGAGACTCTATGTGAACTCTTCCAGTTCAAAAATATTTTTCCTCTCCTCAAGTCCTAGGCTAGACTCATGCCATAAGGCATCACATGCAATAATGCATCATACGTCATACATGGTCTACCCACCATCATGATCAACATTCATACACATGCCATAAGGCATCACATGCAATAATGCATCATACATCATACATGGTCTACCCACCATCATGATCAACCCCATTCTCATATGAACATATACACATGTCACATCATATTTAAAACATTCATACATATCATCACTATGCATACATATGAATCACACCTCACCATACATCATATCATACATACATGAACCAAAACTTCAACTTAACATGCATAAGCATCAATTTCAATCCAAAAACATCAAACACACTCATGTCTGGCATAACCAAATCATGCCTGGCCTAACATCCAACTCGAGAGCCTTAAGCTCTTCCACGCCTGACGCGCTCAACCTGTGCCCAACCTAATCCTAGCCAGAGAGTTCTAAAACTCTCATCCAAACCAACAAATCCAGCCACATGCAAACACAAAACAACATGCATAGGCTCCATACAGCTCAAAAATAAACTTAAATCTCACATGCTCCTATTCGATGCATCAAAATCACCAAAAACTCCATTTTTCCCAAAATTGCAAAAAATGAGCGAATTCTCCGACCCAACCATGGATCCTCGACTTTCATGCATCAATTGAGCTTTTAAACTCACATGCAACCGAAACAACAAACATTCTAGCTTCCCTTACCTGAAAATTGGCTCAAACTGGCTAAGAACTGAGGAGAAGTAGAATTTCCTTCTGAAGCCCAGCCCGGAACTTCAATCCACCCAAAGCAAGTTTTCTAGTCTGAATTTCAAGAAAAGATAGAAGACATTAATGATCTAGAGGAGAAAAAGAATCATATAGAGAAATTTGGGATAGAAAAGAGCTCACAGACCTAGAGTCCTTCTCTCTAAAACTTCTTTCTAAAAACTTCACTTTCTCCTCAACCACACAACCCATATTTATAGAAGTTCAGGAGTGGCCAGAACGACCCATTTCAAATCAAGAACAGCCCGTTCTGCACCCCTTCATCATGTGCAAAAATCACATGCAGAATAGCCTGCTCTAAAACCAGAACAGCCTATTCTAGGACTCATCCAAAACGGCCCGTACTCCATCCAGAACGGCCCATTCTCAACTACGATTTATAGGTCGATTTAGTAGTTTGGAACGGCCCATTCTAGTTTGGGAATGGCCCGTTCTGGGCTACTAAATCACCCATACTAGACTTTTGGGCCTTCTGAAATAACTTACTACATTACAATACCCCCTAACAAATAGGAATTTTTGTCCCTGAAAATAGGCTTACTTGAAAAGTTGAATGGATATTGTTCCTTGCACTGACTCTCTACTTCCCAGGTTGCCTCACCAGTAGTTGCATCCCAAAGAATCTTCACCAAGCTGATGGACTTACCACGAAGCTCCTTCAACTTGTGATCAACCACAGCTATTGGTCTCTTTTCCTAGGTCAAGTTCTCTCTAACTTGCACCTCATCCATCTCTACCACATGACTTGGGTCTCTGATGTACTTCCTCAACTATGAAACGTGAAACACATGCTCTCCCTCCTCAAACTCTAGAGGTCTCCTCCTCTTATCAGCATAGGACTTTTGTCGACTCTGGGTAGCCCTCAACCTTTCCTGAATCTATCTCACCATCTCAGTAGTCTGAAGAATTAACTATGGACCAACCACTACTGACTCACCCTCTTGATACCAACATAATGGAGTCCTACACCTCCTGCCATACAAAGCCTCAAAAGGCGTCATGCCAATACTCGAGTGATAACTGTTATTGTAGGTAAACTCTACTAATGGTAACACCTCTTCCCAGCTACCTAGATGATCTAATACACAAGCTCTCAGGAGATCCTCTAGTGACTGAACTGTTCACTCCGACTGACCATCTGGCTGTGGATGATAAGCAGAGCTCAACCTCAACCTCGTCCCTAATGTAGAGTCTACCAAAACCTGGAAGTAAACTTTGGATCTCTGTCAGAAATAATACTAGAAGGCACTCCATGCAACCGTATTATCTCTCTGATATACAACTGTGTAAGCCTCTCCAAATACCACTTCTTGTTGATAGGGAGAAAGTGCGCACACTTGGTCAACCTATCAACAATCACCCAGATAGTGTCACTGTTCCTAGTTTTTCTAGGTAGCCCCACTACAAAGTCTATAGTGACACTATCCCACTTCCACTCAGGAATCTCCATCAATACCAAGCTCAAAACCAGCTAGCCTCTCGGTACCAAGCAATCCCAAAATCCTCAACAACTCTGGATCGTGTAATTGCTTAGTTCCCACCTGTCTCAAGAACTCATTAGTTATGGTGATCATACCACAACTAATGTGATCTTGAACAACCTCCACCTTTTTAGTCTCAAATCTCTGAATTGCTCAATCAACTCCAATTCCCTAATCATCATAGCCGACATGTGAATGGATTTCTTACTCAATGCATTTGCTACCACATTCGCCTTCCCAAGATGATACATCAACTAGAAATCGAAGTCCTTTAGGAATTCCATCCACCTCCTCTGCCTCATATTCAACTCCTTCTGATCAAACAGGTACTTCAAACTTTTATGATCACTGAATACACTGAATCTCGCACCATATAGATAGTGCCTCCACGACTTCAAGGCAAACACCATAGTTGCAAGCTCTAAATCATGAGTGGGATAGTTCCTCTAATGGGTCTTAAGTTGCCTCGAAGCATACGCTACTACTCTCCCTTCCTGCATCAACACACAACCCAACCCCTGGTGAGAAGCATCACAGAACACATCAAAATACTCACCAGTGTTAGGTAACACCAAAACTAGAGAAGTAGTCAATCGCCCCCTTCAATTCCTGAAAACTCTGCCCACAAGCGTCTGTCCAAATAAAAGGCTGATCCTTCCGAGTCAGTTGAGTCAAAGGCAATACTATTCGAGAGAAACCCTCTATGAATCTCCGATAATAACCCACTAACCCAACAAAACTCCTAATCTCTGTAGCAGTCCTCGAATGCTCCCACTGAATCACAGCCTCCACTTTGGCTAGATCCACTGCAATCCCCTCTACCGATATCACATGCCCCAAAAATCTCACCTCGAACAACCAAAACTCACACTTGGACAGCTTGGCATACAACTGCCTCTCCCTCAGTACCTCTAAAACCAACCTCAAATGCTCACGGTGATCCTCCAAAGATCTAGAATACACCAAAATATCATCAATGAAGACCCCCACAAACCTGTCCAAGAATGACTTGAAAATGCTATTCATGTAATCCATGAACACTGCTGGAGCATTAGTGACACCGAAAGGTATCACTACATACCCATAGTGACCATAACTAGTCCTGAAAGTAGTCTTCGGTATGTCACTCTCCTTTACCCTGATCAGATGGTATTCGGATCTCAAATCAATCTTCAAAAATACCGAAGTTCCCCTCAGATGATCCATCAAATCATCAATCCTCGGAAGTGGATACTTATTCTTTATCGTCAACTTATTCAGTTGTCGATAATCAACACACAAACGGGCCCCACCATCCTTCTTCTTCACTAACAATACCGGAGCACCCCAAGGAGAAACACTAGGCCTCACCATCTGTTTCCCCAACAAATCCTCGATCTATTTCTTCAGCTCTACCAACTCAGCTAGAGCTATCCTATAAGGAGCCACTGATACCGGTCCTGCACAGGGTACCAGATCAATACTAAACTCAACATCACACGCATAGGTGGCATTCTCGGCACATCATCTGGGAACACCTCAAGAAACTCACTGACAATCTCAATCTTAGTGATGGCCCTCTTTGTATCAATACTCAAAGCGGCAAACAACATGAAGCACTCGGCTCCATCCCTCATCAACTTCTCAGCCTAACCCGCTGATACCAACACCTCATCCTCCAACTGAGGAAATACCAACTCTCTTCGAGCACAATCTAAAAGGATGTGCTGGGTAGATACCCAACCCATCCCTAAGATTATGTCGGTATCTACCATGGGCAACACAATCAGGTGCACTTGGAACCTCCTACCGAACACCTCTATCGGGCATCTCACACACATCTCCGACGTCACCACAAAAATTGAAGCCAGAGTAGACACAAAAATCAACATGCAATACAGATATTGATAAACCCACTCTCCTTACACAATCAATAGAAATAAAAGAATGCGTGGCACTAGAATCAAACAAGAACAAAACATTCTCACCTGCTGCTTTCCCATTCCCCTTCACCAAATCTAATGAAGTGGAAGCCTTTATACATGATAAAGAGAAAACTCTCCCCGCAGCTGTAGGCCTAGGTGGCCTTGGAGAACTCCCAGATGGAGTCGATGGCATCTGACAATCTCTGGAAAGGTGACCTGGCCTGCCACATCTGAAACAAACATTCTCCGGATGGGAACAATCTCTAACCACATGTGCTCCTCCACATTTATAGCATCGCATTGATGGTGCTCCACTCTAAGGAGTAGCAGAACGAGGTCCCCTACTGACAGCACCCCTCTGAGACTGAACAGGCCTGTCATAGGGTCCCCTCTGCTGGCCTCCCCTCCTGGACCCAGATGATCCCTCCTGAACTCTAGCAGCCTTGTCATTGCTACCACCACCTTCCAATCTCTCAATAGTCTTTGCCTTCTCAACCAAGGCAAGAAACTCCATTATAGACATAGGGACTATCACTCTCTTCAGCTCATGCCTTAACCCCTCTACAAACTTTCTACATCTCCAAACCTCAGATATGGCCTGAGAGTAAAAATGAGTCAGATGCTTAAACCTCATAGCATACTCAAAAATAGACAAGCTCCACTGGTGTAGTCTCATGAACTCTGCCTCCTTAGCGTGTCTAACGCTGTCCGGGAAATACTTCTCCAAGAAAACTCTCCTGAAGCAATCCCAATCTACAAGAACACCTCTGCTCTCCATCATCTACCTGGTGCCTCTCCACCAGTACTCAGCCTCGCCTGCCAGCATGTAGACTGCATAGGCCAACTTCCTCTCCTTAGAAGACCCTAGAACACTAAATATCTTCTCCATCTCGCTCAACCACTAATCTACCACATCAGGATCCGAATCCCCCTTAAACTGAGGAGGCTGACAGCTCTTGAACTCTGCTAAATCTCTCTTATCTTGAGAGACTACCAGTCTAGCTGCCTCAATCGCAGCTCTACCCGCCTCCATCTGAGCAAAGTGAGCACTCTGCTACTGCATCGCCATGGCCATCATCTCCATAGCCCTAGCAATCTGATCATATTGAGGCCTCACCATACTAAAAGAATCCAAAACATTCTTTTAGTAACACAATACCACCATATATCACCAAAACTAACACATATTAGAGATATGACATAACAGAAACCTAGAAGGATCACTCCCCACAGAGTATCCAAAAAGCTCGACCGGCTTTGATACCATAAAAGTGTAACGACCCACCATGGTCTCTACACTTAGTGGAATCGCACTACTACTAGTGAACTAAGAAAAATATTAAGCTGGATAATTCAAACATACAGGTATAAATAAGAATGACAATAACTAAGTTTCTGGTTATAAAATAGAACACCATATATGTACAGTCATCCCAAAAATAATATTCCCTAGTGCCGGTCAAGCACAGACAAAATTACTACCCAAAATGGTAACTCTAACATGAGGATCAAACTCCTTGTCTCACAGCGGTCACCTCAACTCCAAGCTAGCCCTGACCTACTCCCATACAAGGGATGATCATTGCAGTCCATCCACATGGAAACAGAAGGGTAAGCTAGAGTTCAAAAATCAATCATACAAGTACAGAATAATAATTTATACTACACAATCACCCAACTATCAATCATGATCATAGAGTCACACCATACACTCTATCCAATACTACTCATGCATAAAATATGTAACTCATGATAGATATAAATGCATATCAATCATCTAATGCATCGTCATGCATACACCTAGGAGATCTCCCTAATAACAGAGCAATATAAGTGACATCCCACCCTACTGAAACCACCCCAACCGTTTTCACGCCCAATGCGCCCGCTCGGTCATAGCTAAACAGGATATAATCCTCACTCGGGTTTACTCAGATGATGTCACTTACACAATTGGAAGTCCAGATCCACCGTCAGGTATAGCACGGCTGGGTATATGCTTACCATGACCTTGGAATGCATTACCAAGTCAATTGTGGAGTTCGCCCACCGAATATCCGCAAGGATCCACGCACCTTCCCGAGTACTTGGTTAAGGGAATAACCCTCGACCTCATACCCCACTCCAACACTAGCCAAGGACTTAGAGAAGACTCACCCAACCCAGTGGTCTACCTGAGCACCACTCTCCCAAATCCAGTGGCCTACCTGAGCACCACTCTCATATATCAGTGGCCTATCCAAGTACCGCTCTTAAGAGACTCTATGTGAGCTCTTCTAGTTCTAAAATATTTTTCCTCTCCTCAAGTCCTAGGCTAGACTCATGCCATAAGGTGTAACACTCGAATTTTTCTACCAATACTACGAATAATTATTATTTATTTTTGTATTTATGAAGATTATTTCCTTATAATTATTTTGATTAATTAAATGGGTTTGATTGAATTTTTAAAGATTTTTAATAATAATCATTTATGAAAATTATTTTATATAATATTATTAATTATGATATTTTGTTATAATTATTATTTGAAGAAAATCATGTTTTAAATTGTATTGATATTTTATTTTAATTTGATATATATTTTGTTATAATTATTATTTGAAGAAAATCATGTTTTAAATTGTATTAATATTTTATTTTAATTTGATATATATATATATATATGTTATTTATTTATTTATTAATTAGTAATTTTGGATTTTCATGCCCCGGAACGGACCGTTCCACTTTGGGAACGGGCCGTTCCAACTCGAGCATGCATGGGTAAAATTTCAACCCAGAACGGGCCATTCCACTTTGGGAACGGGCCGTTCCGGATGTGGTTTTAAAGAACAAAGTATTGACTTAGAACGGGCTGTTCTGGTTTTGGAATGGGCCGTTCTAGGAGAGGCTTTTGTACATGTTCTTTGTGCCCAGAACGGGCCATTCCGGATTCGGAATGGGCCGTTCCTGATGCCTATAAATGCGTTCCAGCACTTTAGAAAAATGCATTTTTTCACTTTTGACCTTTTTCTTCTACACTTTCTGGAGACCAAGGGGAATCCGGAGGAGGAGATCCTACATCAGTTTCAACTCCTGTTTATCGAGGTAAGGGAGAGTGAGAAACCTCGCTCTGGGTGTGGGATTATATGCTGGGTAGTGGGATTGGCCCCAATCCTGTGTTTGTTGTATGTCATATTTTTCATGTATGTTCCAATTACTTAATTAATATGCATGTACGAATAGAAACTTTGTTTAGGCTATGATTGTGGAATTTGGTGCTCCTATAGGTTCCTACGGGAAACCTTAAGGGAGTGCATTGGTGCTTGTATGAATAAATTAATTGTGATAATAATTATATATGTGAATTGTCTTATTTTAAATGTTTATTGCATAAATTGGAACGCTCTATGGGTTCTTGAGAGAACCCTATGAGCAGCAGTCAAAATAGGAATATTTTTGTTTTACCTTTTTTCTGTTCCGTTATACTCCCTATTAAAAGAGATGTGTGAATATGTGTTTGGTTTTGCAAATGGGTGAGTGTTGTTGTGAATTAAAATGCTTATGAATTCCTTGAAATTTTGAGAATTACGTAACCATGATGCGAAACATGAATATGAAACATGAGAAGCGAGAATAACGATAATGTTACATGAAATATGATGATGTGTTAATGCGTAGAGTCTTGTTTGACATGCATCATTTGCATAAATGTTTTAAGGGTACGATATGGAATACACCGCCAAAGAAGGCCCCCTAGTGTAAAAGCTTTGGGGATTAGTCCTTGGGGATAGCTCGGTTTGGAAGTCCCAGTCTCGCCCATTGTGTGCATGGGATGTATCTTGCGCGGCTTAGCTATCCCGACGAGACTCTGGTAGTATATCCTTCTAGTGAGAGTGCGCAGAGGGTGTGACCCGGCATGTACTCCTAGACTACTCTTCGTGTATTGCTAGCGGCAATATGCCATGTGATGTTTTACTGGCGCCACATGCATGATAATATGTAGTCCGTGTCCATGCATGTGCATTCTTATTATTAAATGATGATAAATTACTATTTGTATGACTTGGATGATTGGATAAGCTATTGTTGTTGATTGATCTATGAGGTAACTGTATAGTTTGTGTTTGGTTATCCAGTGTGCGTTCCTACACCGTGAGCCAGAGTGAGATGTTTCTCACTCCCTTCTTTTGTGTTGTTTCTCTTGTTTGATATACAGGAGACCATCAGCAGCATGTGAGACTGAGGATGTGGGCGATGGAGCTTAGGCTTCTATGTGGGATATTGCTCTAATAGGACATGTGACATCGGGATATAGATAGAATTAGAATATGGTGTTGTTTATGTTTCATTAAAGTATATATTTTGGAAAATTCAATTTTTATTCTTTGTAATTTTATTTGCTATTTGGATTAAGTACATGAATGTGAATTCTCTACTCACATGATTATTGGAATTGTCGTTTCAATTTTAAATTTTTTTTATCCAATAAGATATTTCTTTTTATTTATATATATATATATATATATATATATATATGTTGGGGTAGAGGGTGTCACATAAGGCATCACATACAATAATGCATCATAAATCATACATGGTCTTCCCACCATCATGATCAACAATCATACACATGCCATAAGGCATCACATGCAATAATGCATCATACATCATACATGGTCTACCCACCATCATGATCAACCCCATTCTCATATGAACATATACACATGTCACATCATATTTAAAACATTCATACATATCATCACTATGCATACATATGAATCACACCTCACCATACATCATATATCATACATACATGATCCAAAAACTTCAATTTAACATGCATAAGCATCAATAATCCAAAAACATCAAACACACTCACGCCCGACGTAACCAAATCACGCCCAACCTAACATCCAACCCGAGAGCCCTAAGCTCTTCCACGCCCGGCGCGCTCAACCTACGCCCGACCTAATCCCAGCCAGAGACTTCTAAAACTCTCATCCAAACCAACAAATGCAACCACATGTGTAAACACCCAATTTCGTCCGGGGGGCATACAAACAAAGAAATGGACATCTATTATCAAGGAAAGGAACTCCCAAAGCAGGAAAGCAACAAGACAGGACATCAGAGGGTCGAAAGCCCAAAACAACTAGTTTTAGTAGCCCAGAACGGGCTGTTCCAAAATCAGAACGGGCCGTTCCCAAATCTGGAACGAGTCATTCCTAAATTGGAACGGGCCGTTCCGAGCCACCTAAAAGGTTTAAAGACTCTTGGTTGGAACGGGCCGTTCCAAACCAGAACGGGTCATTCCAAACCAATCAAAAAGGCCTAAAAAAACTTGGTCTGAAACAGGCCGTTCCTAAACCAGAACGAGCCATTCCAAACTGTTAAAAAGGCCTAAAAACCTAGTTTGGAACGGGCCGTTCTAAGCAAGGGAATATAGTGTTAATATCAAACTCCAGAACGAGCCGTTCTCAGTTCGGAACGGGCCGTTCCCAGGTGCGTGATTAACACACAACGTTCGGATCCAGAACGAGCCGTTCCAGATTTAGAACGGGCCATTCTGGAAACTTTTTGATGCCTATAAATAGACAGCTTGGGCACAGTTCTCAAGGCCACAAAATTTCGTCCAAGACTCCTTAGAGCTCAAAATTTCTCTCTCTCTCCCTCCTATTGTATTTCTTGAGATTTGTGAGACATATTGTAGTGTGAAAGGTTGCCATAAAGCACCTTCTCCATTTTTGAAGATTCAATAGAAGCTCGTTCAAGAGGTATTTCAATCAATCTTCT